TTCAACAGGCTGTTTTTCCTTGGACTGTACTTTTTATTTTTGCTATACTTTGATCACAGGAAAGATTAAGTTATTGGAACCTAGCCACAACTCAAATTACTTTGAGTGTGTTCACTTAATGTGAAGCTAGCTTATGCTTGACACCGCCCACCCAAGGGTAGATGTCTCAAAACTCTAGAAGTATCACTTTTGAAAAACAAAAGGGGAAGTAAGTGATTTTCCCAGTTCCACCTGAAGCCTTGTTTCTTTATTATGGATATTTCTGACATTTTCTAACCTGGTGTAAACATTCTTAATTAGCTGGAGATAGGATCTTTTAGGGGCTTGCGGCTAGGGTTCCAACTGAGGTTTTTCAAGAATTGTTGGATTGCAATCTCCAAGCAAGACAGCTCATTGAATTTCTGTGCTTGACATTCTCCGTTGGTAAGCCCTTTAGAACTCCCCAGGCAGAACAGCAATATTGCCTCCATAGCCATAAGCATGTTGACCCTGAAAGTGAAGAAGCTTGTGAAAGGAAAGGGACCAAACCACTTAATATATTTACAAATGCTTTTTTTTAAATGTCAGGATTTTTTTTAATAAAAAATACTAAATTAGTGAGCTATGGGGCATTTTCTGATCACAGTGAGGATGCTAGTATATTGAGTATTACATTATGGTTAATGATGGAGTTATGGTTAGCAGATAGATTTAATTATATTTCCTTTATTTTTTGAGTCCACTGAGAATTTCACCATGAACCCCACTCAAATGGAGCCAATCTGTTGACAATCAGACTTCTACCCTGTGCAGTCCTTACATAATTAGCTTGTTATCAACACAGAGAGTAAGGAGTAGACCTGCCACCCTGTGGCATAGCTTTTTTTCACATGACGAGCAGTGTATTGGAAGAAGAGAATTCCTGTTGTACACACAAGCCAGAATCCAAATTTTCCAGAGTTGTTGCCTGTGTGTGAACAGGTGACAACAGAGAAGAAAGTGGCTTGTCACTCCTCTCTAAGCATGTTGGTAAGTGTGTCCATAAGAACTGAGGAAAGTCTTGTAACTTCTGCTTCTCAGCACCGTGGTTTACTGGAACTTAATGTATGATACTTTTTATCCCAGTATGTTACACTGGATGGGACAAAAAGGAGACACTATGCCATAAATTTATTTGGACAGTTCCCCCCCCCAACCAAACGCTACGTGTTGAATGGCTGAAACTCAGAACGTCATCACGTGTTTTGTCACACCATTTAGAAGTCTTCAGGTGTCAGTTTTACACAATGCCCCTACCCTATGGGTTTATGCCAGTGGTTCCCAACTCTAGGTAACCAGATGTTTTTGGACTTCAACTCTCAGAAACCCTGGCCAGTACAGCTGCTGGTGAAGGCTTCTGGGAAATGCAGTCCAAGAAAAGCAGGGTTTCCCCCATGGTTGGGAACCACTGTTCTACATCCTTGCAGCTTCTGTCATAAAATGTGACTTTTCAATCCTGTGCCAGGGGTTTAAGAGCAGATGTGCTAATAAAACAAGGTACACAGCATATATTTATTTTTCAGTTGGATGTCAAAATTCAGGTGAAGTTGGCTGTTCTGATGAAAACATATGTGTGGGGCTTCTGAACAACTGCTATCTAGGAATTAAACCTCCAACCCCTTCAATGTTTGCTCCCTGTAAAGGCCAGTTGTGACCATAAATTACAAACTAATTTCAACCAGTTAGTATGTGACTGATGTCACTGCATTGCCAGTTGGCAGTTGGAACTGCACCAAAGTCTCTTTTTAACTACTATTTATTTACAGAGACAGGGTTTTTAAAAAAAGCCTTGTCAAAGCATCACTATGTCAGTTAACAACAATTTAAAAGAAATTTAAAACTTCATCTCCCTTTCCCTCCCAAGGTGAGCAGAACAGAGGCTTTATATTTCTCAAGATCATCAAGTAACTTCACCAAATGAACAGCTACGTAATCAGCTGCCTTGGTTAGAGCCGAGCGATTGCACATGCTGGAAGGGAACCAAAACAGAGTGATCATGCCAGCTCCTGACCGATACCCAAAAAGATGCAGGAAGACATCTTTATGGGGTGGGCTGGTTCATAATGCCACATATGTTGTGCAGTCATTGGAAAAATGAGTGAACCAACCCATTCCCAGTCCTGACCATTGCACACTAACATGCCTATCTCTTAGGAAAACGGTGTAGAAAAGGTGCAGGAAAGGGTAATTAAATTTATCAGAGGGCTAAAATTGCCTCCTTGCAAGGAAAGATTACATAAGGGACTCTAGTAAGCATTTTAGTAGGCAGAAAAGTCAAGGTAGAGTGGGGGTGTGAAGTAGAGAAAGTAAAACTAGAAGATGCAATCAGCCAGTGAGGTTAATGGTGGGAGATAATAATATAACATAATTATATCTAAGAACTCCTGGACGGGACCCTATGGATCATTTACACACACACACTCCGTCAAGGAGGCACAGTGGGAATTGAACTTCCAACCTCTGGCTCTGCACTGAGCCATCCAGAATCACCAGCAGATTCAGAACAAACAAAAATCAATACCTTCTCAGACAGCACTTTGTTAAAACTATGGAACTATTTGCCACAAGGTGTGGCAAAGGTATCAGTGTAGGTGGTTTGCAATGGCTTTATGATACTTCTGGAAAATGAGGCATTATGCCCCTGACCTTGTGGGAAGCAGGGTGCTGAACTGGGTGGGCCCTCGATGTACTCCAGTTGACCATAAAAGACCAGTCTGTGAACAAAACGAGAAAGTTTTTTCCCCAGCAGAGGTCTGAGGTCATCCAATCACCCACAAGTGCAAAATAGCAGCTTACACAAAACAGGCAGCAAATTGTTGGATAAAGAGTGCATGGAATTTGTACACGGTTCCTTTCATTACACAATTCTACGTGTTTTCCTCTTTTTTCAGCATCCTAAATGGGAGTCTTTAAACTGTTAGTATTATTAAACCACTGGCAGTTGGAAGCCAGCACTCATCTATGGCCACTTGCTTGGTGACGGGCAGGGAGAGATCTCCCAATAGATGCCAGTTTACCTTCTCCCCGTCCCTGCTATACAGTGATCCATAGATTGACCTGCATTTGATAACACTGTGACAATAGAATAATAAGCAGCTGCAACAAATGTTTGTTGGCTTGGCTGCTTCTTTTAAATTAATCAACATTCCAATCTCCCTCAAAGTAGGCATTAAAAATTAAAACTCTCTCGAAGTAGGATCAGTGATCACTACGCACAAAAGACCAGCTAGCGACACCCATCAATCACAGTGATAGATAATCTATCCTCCTTATCACAACAATACACCCACAACAAAAACACACGTGTCACCATAATCACCCATCTCCTGAAAAGGACAAAGCTGATCCAACAGCAATAAATACTCAACTCCCAAACAAACACCACCAGAGCACAGAGTGCTACTCCTGTCCTCTGAAGATGCCGGCCACAGAGACTGGCGAAACGTTAGGAAGAACAAACTTCAGAACATGGCCAAAGAGCAAGAAAACCCCCCAACCATTAGGCATTAAAAGCTTGCCCAAGGCCACACAGGCTGGTTCTACTTGCAGGAGGCACAGTGGGGGACCAAACTGCCAACCTCTGATCCCACAACCAGATACCCAAACCACTGAGCTAGCCAGACAGCCTGATCTCTGGTAGGAAAGGAAAAGAAGAAGAATGAGCGAATCACATAGCCTAAAGGGCAGCAGGCTTAAGCTTTAAATCATGGTTCTCCATCAGATAGATCTAAAGAGCCCTGGGGCGTAATTTTATGCAGAGAGGAAGAAACCTTCCCTCGCTTAGCAAGCCCCTTTCCCTCCAGCTCCTTTGACAGGGATTTGAGATCAGAAGAAACCAGCCATGGAAAGTCATTTGCTTGTGACAGGAAGTCGTGGAAAACAGTGGCTTCTTCTCATCTGACATTTGCCTGGTTTGTACCAAGTATCACCCTCGTTCCATCATGAGGGTGTGCCAACTTTGCACATGAAAACAATTTCTTTTAAATTATAAATCTAGCAAAACAGCACTGTTTTGGACCATGTGGTGGGAGAGAGGAAGGTACATAATAGAGAGAAGTCTGCTGTCACTAATAATGCGACAGAACATACTCATGATACACTGCAACATCAAATATATACACACCACACTATGTATAAATTAAATTACTTATTCAAATAGTACAGAAATTGTGCAAAAATAAGCTGAGTTGCATCAAATATTAAAAATTGACAACTTTGCATAATTATCATTGTTTAAACTTTTCCCTTTTTTCCCCCCTTCCTTCTTTCCTCTTAATATGTGCAATTCTGTTTGTCTTTTTGTTTCTTCTAACAACAAGTCAGGCAAGGAGATGGAAACCCTGGTTGAGCCTGGGAACATATTGTTCAACTATGTCTCCCATGTGGAGAAATGTCTACATACAGAGATTTATTTCACAGTCATAAGGGCTAGAAACTTTGTCATTGTTTACATGAAAGCTGAGGAAGCTGAATTCCCAACAGCGTACTGCCATCCCTGTTTTATATAACATAGTTTCTGTTTTATAACATATTCTCTGCTTGAGTACGGTGACAGCCTATTGTGCAAAAATAAGACGAACTTTTAAAAAAACCTAAATTGGTACAAAATTCTGCATGCATTATAGTTCATATGCTGGCACCTGCTCTCTCATGCTGTAGCACTAGGAAGCAGACTCCCTTTGTAATTGCTTGCCAGTCTGTGTAACTGGCATCTGTCAAGCTGTGTAAATAACTTCTTTAACCAAGGGAAATTCCCCAGATCTCTCTTCCTCTTAATAATAAACAACATGTGCTGTCAAGTTAATTCTGACTTATAGTGACCTTTTCCAGGATTTTCCAGGTAGAGAGTGCTCAGAAGTGGTTTATCATTCCCTTCTTCTGGGGGCATCCTGGGACTGTGCAGCTTGCCCAAGGCCACACAGGCTGGCTATACACACAGGAGACACACCTGGGGAATCGAATTCCTGACTTCTGGATCTGCTGCCAGATACATCAATCATGGAGGTATCTAGCCAGCTTCTTTCTTTTAGGCAGTACCCAAAATGGAGCTACGTATATCACTTCCCATTTGCTTTTAAAGACAGAACACAGAAGCAAATTTCCACAGCCAGGTTGTTGTCAAGCGGGTTTGACTACAACTCTCATCCTATGCTAGCCAGCATTGCCACAGCCCATCTAGAGGGTACAAAATAGGTTACAGTGGTTTAGGCAATGTTGCTGAACTTCCTTGTGGTTTCCAGGGAATGAGAAGCCAACGTTAAATTATTTTAAATAAATATAAAAGTCAAATCGATGTACCTGGCTTTAATCATTGATAGTAGGCTGTGTTTAATGGGAATTTCAGATGTGCCTATTTATTGGTCTGTTTTTTCATTTAAAATATTTTTATCCTGCTGTTCTCCTTAAAAGGAACCAAAGCAACTTACCTCATTAAAAAGACAATGTTTAAAAACAGTAAGTGTACAAATACTTTAGAAGAATTAAATAAATATTATATGAAAAATGGCTAATACTGTAAAATCAAAACTAAAGGCATATTTAAAAGTAATAAGAGACAACAATACATTTAAAAACCCTCTCAGACAGCCAGTCACTCATTCACACAAAAAGTAAGCCCCATAATGGAACTTGTTTCCAAGAAAATGTGCCTAGCATTGCAGCCTTAGCAGCTAAATAAAACAGAGAATGTTTAGCGTATCTCTTGATGCCCTTCAGTTAATGAATTTCCACAACAGCTCACTACTAATCAAAGAACATCTACCAATCCAATAAAAGATTCAAAGGCTCAATAAAAATGTAAACTTGCCATGCAAACGTTACAACAAACTAGCAGCAGCAATAATACAATAATCACAACCTAACACCAGCAGAGCAATAAAACAATCAGTAATAAGAATGAAAACTAAGCTCAGGTGGCATGCTCAAAGGTCTAAGCAAACTGTCACATCTTTGTCCAATGCTGGAACAATATACGAGTCACCACTAGCCTAGCTCCCCTGAACAGGCTATACCACAGGAACAGACCCACAACTGAAAAGTTGATGTCTTTGAAAACCAGCTATGTAGTTTTATAGAGTGGAGGGACACAGCATGAGCAGTCTTGTGAGGAGAAAGGGGTTTCTCGAATCATAGATGGGTTTCAAGCATAACAAGCACCAGGACCAGGACTAGCGCGCGCGCGCGCGCACGCGCGCACGCACGCACGCACGCACACGCACACACGCACACACACACAAAGTCATATAGTCCAGGGGCTACATGAGCATGGTGTAAGCCTAGAAAAGATTGCATCCTGTATAGTTCTAAGATGATGATGATGATTTTACACAGAGAGACTGGACTCCAGGAAGGATCAACAAAGGATAAGGTGGCCATTTTTGTAGCACTAGAAAGCAAGATAAAGGAGGATACAATTTTTTTCAAAATGGCAGACACTGATTTATATCTGCAGATGTACGATGAGGAATTATGTTTAAATGGAGTTACAAAGCATTGTACCCCTCTGGACTGACGGCCATTAATACTTTTCTTCAGCACTGGCTGTGGGAAGGACAGCATCCTTCAACACACTTGAGGATGCAGGCGACCTGAGGACATATGGCACAGCCCCCTACCAGAGTGCAATAGCTAGAGCTGCTTTCTATGAATATTTGCAGGTTGGGTCGAGCAGCTCACTCTACCTAATGGCAGGGCCGGACCAGGGAAAGCCCAAGATCAGATCACTGACATTTCCTGTTTTAAAAGAGGTGGTAGATGCCATCAATAAAAGCCCTGTGTCTTAGACAGTGAAAGTTGCTGGGCTAGATGGAGAAGATGGATTATAATTTGCAAGTAAATGAGAAATGTTTCTTTCTAGAGCTGAGGAAAAGGTGGGTTTTTTTTGGGGGGGGGGAGGATTACAGCTCCTAGAATCCTACAGTCAACATCACCAGCATTCCAAAACAGAATTTTCCAAAAAAAATTTCTTTCCTATGAAGGAAGTGGCAATGGAGTGAAAGTACAAAAATATTTCATGGGCTTCTGTTTGTACTTTGTTAGGGGTGGGGCTTTGAACTTCCTTTGTTCCTTTACTGTCAAGGAGGTGGTAATTCGCTTGGCAGCTGGCACCTTATCCATCCTGTCAGTCCTAAAGTGCCCAGCAGAGAAGAAACATGAATGTAAGCCTTCTCATCATATTTGGAACTACAATAGCTTGCCATGCATCTGAGGGTAAGTCATATCTCGTATCTAAGCTTTTGGCATACTTATTCTTTTTGAAGAAGGAGATTAATTGAAAGAAGTGGTTTAATTAAATATCCATGTCTGGGGGGGGGGGGTTGAGAAAGCGGTTTTAAGACGTACAGAACGAAAATTCAAAAATTCTGGTTCTGTATTATATTGCTTGAAGCAACAGAGAAGCCTCTTTTCGACTTATAAAAATAGAACGACCCTACCATTAGGCAGAGTGAGGGAGATTGTCAGAAGAACTTTCTCAGATTTGAGTATTAGATGTATTTTTACTTGAGTAGATGGATGTCATTTGCTGCTCCAGCTCAGGAAGCTACACATCTCAGGATGGACCTGCATAGGACCTGCATAAATACATAAATAATACATAGTTGGAGATTCATCCTGAGAAATTTCATATTTTTTTTAGTATGGTGAAAGAGAAAACTGTGTCAGTTTAAAGAAGGAATGCAAGCTTTTAGTATCTGCAAAGTTTTGCCTAAACATATAGTAAGAGGAGTAGCTTGTTCTCTTCAATGTTTGGTGAGTTGACCTAGTGCACAATTTGGAGTGTCAGACCCAAGATGGAAAACAGCTGCAAGAGGCTGCAAAATTTATCAGAATAAAAGTGTTTGGTTCTTTTCCTCTGCACCACTATCTCAGTTCACTCCCCCCACCTAATATGCATTTTCAGTCTCTTCCTTGCAGTTGTACTTTCTTGCTAACTAGAGAAAAAAAAGGTCATTTAACACCTTGGCTCATATAAATAAAGTGTCTTCTGTAAAATAAACAGAGGTGCAGAGTTTTTTTGGACCACATTTTCTTTTTCCTGCTTACACACTTCTTGTACAGACGTAGCAGTGCAGCACTGCCACGTTGGATAAAATCAATCCCGTCATCATCAGTGTTTACTGCTCAAAGCATATTCCAAATGCTTGGATTAATTTATTTTCTGCTGCTATCAGTTGTCTATTGACCATGTTTTCTCAATAGTCAGGCTGTACCAATGCCTCAAACGGGGCTGTAGCTCCGGCCGGTTTTGGACTCCAGCTCCCATCTGCTTCTGCCAGGCCATATGGTCATGAGGGAGGATGGGAGTAGTAGTTCATAAACATCTGAAGGGCTCAGGTTCTCCGGGTCTGGCAAAAAAAAACAAAGGCCATATTAGAAAGCAGGTGAGTATGGCTTTCATCAACCAATTCTGGGGCTAAGTCTTATCTCAGATTCACTTCTGTCTTGAGCACTCTTAATTTTTTCTTCCTTTGCCATATGGCTCAATGAATAAAACTTGACCTCTTGTTCAAGGCTAGCAGCAGACCCTGGGAATGGTGAGCAACTTCCTAGTCATACCTCTCTATTAGAAGACAGCTGTGCACACCCACAGTCTAACTTGCAGGTTGCTTGCACCTATTTTCTGTCATAAAGCAGATATGGTGTGCTCAGGTACAATACAGAACCAGTGCTGAAGTAAACATTTGTCTGCCTGTCCACTTCAGTTCCATATTGGGGCAGGGGGCGATCTTGTTCTTTGCAGCAGGCAACAAAATGGCCTTCGCCCTGCTCCCATTGATTACAGTAGAATTTACTCTTCAGTAAGTGAACTAAAGATCAAAGTTCCTTAGTTAAGAAAAAGCAACATTGTCAGTCCCTTAATTTCTGAATGTCTGTAAACGTGACCTGGAAAGGTAACAAGCAATATGAAGGGTTTACAAATACCAAGGCTGGAGTATTACTGGCCACTTCCTGGAGTGTACGGTTGCCACAGAAGAACAAGGGTATAGTTCTCTGCAAATATTCTGGTTTCATTTCTCGGAAATCGTCTGTTTCTTACAGGTTCTGTGACATCTCTCTCTCTCTCTCTCTCTCTCTCTCTCTCTCTCTCTCTCTCTCTCTCTCTCACACACACACACACACACACACACACACACACACACACAGAGAGAGAGAGAGAGAGAGAGAGAGAGAGAGAGAGAGAGGCTTCAGCCTTGGCATCACCTCTATAGTAAACACTGATCTGAGAGAGCCAATACTGTATAATGTAACGGTGAGTGTTGGACTTGGATATGGGAGCCCTAGAGTCACATTTCTGCTTAGTCACAAAGCTTAGTTGGCATCCTTAGACCAACCTCTTAGCTAAACCCACATTAGAAATTATGTTTGGCATAAAATAGGGGAGAGGAGATTATGTGAAACAGCTGTGTGCATTGTTCAGGCATATAAACAGAGAAATTATGAGCTTTCGCAACACATACTGACTGCTGGTGATATTTTCATCGCTGCTGTTTCTGCCATCCGTTTTTATTAATGAGAGGGAGAGAACCCAAAGCTATATTTATGTGATTGCCCCAGGAATCCCTCTTAAGTAACATAATGTCATCTGATCTGCAGGAAAAAAAACTGAAGGGGAAACTGAGGGGAAATTTCCAAAACCAGGAAAACACAATGTCATAACTTTAAAAAAAACACAACCTCCTAGTCTTATTTGACTTTACATATAGACATACATATTAAAGCAAGTGTCAGTTTAATGTGATATCAGTTTCCTAAAAGCCTACCAGACTAGCTACTCTCTTGTTTCATGGCATGGAAGGAAATTAATGGCAGAACTTGAAATTATACTTTTTTAACTACATCATCCAGAATCTTTCAGCCAGACTACTCACTGACCATGTTGCCTGCAGGATTTAGGAAGCTGTTATCCAAGAAACCAGCTTCACTAATTTCTGCTTCCGAATAAGTACGCATGTCCTGAGCTGTGAGGGCTACAGTATATCACAGAAGTGAGTACACCCCTTCACATTTCATAAATATTTTAGAATATCACTTTTGTTGCCAGTGGTTTAGACATTAATGGCTGTGTGTTGCGCTATTTTGAGGGGACAGCACATTTACACTGTTATACAAGTTGTATACTCACTGCTTTACATTGTAGCCAAGTGTCATTTCTTCAGTGCTGTCACATGAAAAGATAATACTAAAATATTTATGTAATATGAGGGGGTGTACTCACTTCTGTGATATACTGTATATAAATTATTTAAAAATACAGTGTATTCAAGTAAGCAGTTCAAAGACCTATAGCGCACTCTCAAGGCAACTGTATATTGAATTAGTGCTTCAAGAAGGACATTACTCTTTCTTTAGTATTGTTGGAAACTGCTTTCCAGAAATTACAGGAACCACAGTCTGAACCTCACAAAAGCTACAACGAGAAGCTTCTGATAATTTATGGCCACTTCCTTCCAACACTTTGGCTGTCACTGGGAGGGGGAAACATTGCAGATGTTTTTATCATGCCATGTTACATTTCATTCACTGAATTTTAAGGAGGCAAAGGCTTGATCCACTTATAAGATTCCCAGGTTTTCCACTGCCTTTTACTATGGAAAATGCACAAAGGAAATAAAAATGGAAGACATCATGCTTTCTAGTTGCATGCATGAGGCACCCTTGATCTGGAAATGATGAAAGATTACTTCCTGTTTATGAGTTACGATAAACTACAAATAGATGTTCCTCAGCATCAGGGATATTGTACTTTCCCTACAATGTTCACTATAATTGTGTTTTATCCACACTAGCAGATGTGATGTCCTTAGTACAGGTGGGAAAGTGGCAGAAGTGATTTACTGGGAGGAGAAGCTCCAAGCTATCTTTTTAAATACTGAAGCAATTTATTTAGTGGTGAATATTCATTATTTCTGTGAGCCAAATCACATGAGCATGGACATTACTGAGTGCAACTGGTGTCTTGATAAACTGAGCAGAGGAAATGTTTAATTTGCCTATATCCTAAAGTGGCTTCCTTCTTGAGCCACTTCACAATATTGGAAATTCCCACCTGAAGCAGTCTTGCCAAACAGATGGCTCACTTTTAGTTTGTTTCTAGTTATTGCATGTGCTGAGAATGAACCAAAATGGAGCAATCATACTCGCAGGGAAAAAGTAGAAGTCCCTGATGGCTCAGAAAGGTGTCCGTAGGAATGCTCCGGGGACTTTCCTACCGCTCCAATGATTATGTTGCGTGATTACTTGAAAAAAGAGCAAATCATGGTCCTTGCAGCATACCAATCAATGAGCTAAATGTCCATGTGATTGCACCCTAAGAGTGCTCAATCTGTCCCAGCATGTTACCTTCCTGTTGCTTCTATCTTTTTAGCTGCGCTGTTTTGGTCTGGAGAAGGCTTTTAAAAGCCTGCTTTCTTTTGAAAATGGTTGCCCCTCATTCTGGAAAGCCCTGTTTTGCCTCTGTTAGTCTTCCATCTCAAACTAAGTCCTTTCAAACAATAAGCTACATCTATTTAGTTGGAAAATAGTTTTGCAAGCCTTTTAAAGGTCAAGCTCTCTCTCTTTTAATCTCAAAGATAGGACCATCCTTCTTGTTGTCATAGCCAGGGTGTTTGGAAGGATGAAAGCATACTCTTCCCAAAACACAGATTCTGCATATATATGCATCTCCAGGATTTTATGGGCTAACATTGGACTGAATATTGCAAACACAATTATAAATGTGTAGACAACTCATACATTTCTAGTTGTGTCAATACATATTTATTGTTTAAAAAAAGTCCACGCTTTCGATGGCAATATCCTGCACCATTTTCAATAGGGAAAGCAAGATATCAACTAAAACAAAGCTACTCTTAAATAACTAAAGATACAATCAAAACATTCAGACCAAACCCAAACAGATTAACATTAAAGTGCCAGTTCCCTGCATTGGCCAGCATTTTTTTTTAAACTTATATACCGCCCCATAGCACTACAAGCACTCTCCGGGCGGTTTACAATTTAATTATACAGGCTACACATTGCCCCCCCAGCAAGCTGGGTACTCATTTTACCAACCACAGAGGCTTCCAGCAAGCACTAAAAGTAACCCCACTCTCTCTATTGATGGAATGTGGCTCAAGTCTTATTAGTACAGCCTCAATAATAATTCTGTCCCACAGAATTAAACAAAGATTAGCTTTGTTTTAGTTAATATCTTGCCTTCCCTGATGAAGATGATGCAGGATATTGCCATTGAAAGCTTGGACTTTTAAAACAATAAATATGTATTGACACAACTGGAAACCCGTGAGTTATTTACACAAAATGTTTGTTGTGAAAGACTGAGATCTCTAAGCAATTATAAATGTCTCAAGTTTTCCAAAAAATTTTTTTTAACAAATTGCAAATTGGCAAGAATAATTTAATCCTATCTCGGGCTATTTTGTATACATAAGAGATGAGACTTTGAGATTTTTTGGACTTCCGCTATGAGAATTCACCCATAGTCCTCTAGGTAGCATTTGAGGAGTGAGTGCCACAAACCTGGTGCCTACAGAGGAGTTTTCTGTCTCCACTGCTGTCTGCATGCGTCTCCTTCAAAAAACAAAGTAACTGCCCAGGTGATCCCTGGAGAGCCACAAACCTTTATAGGTGGGTTAATTCCAAGGAAAGCCCCCTCTATAGAGCCTAATGGCCATCGAGACCACCCCAGCCATGACACTTTGCAATTTCCAGGGATCAGTGGACTAGTTTCCTTGCTTTTCAAAGGAGAAGTAAATGGAAAGCAATGAAATTCCCACAAGCTACTCTGTCGGTATCTGTTTGGGGGCTCCCATTCCCAGAATTCTGTCTGGGGGATTCTGAGCAAACTCTGGGAGTGGGAGTCCAAAAATTCTAAAAATTCCATCTCTAATATACGGTGGTGCCTCGACTTACAAACGTCCCGACATATGACCATTGCGAGTTGCGACCAGCTCCGCCCGCAAAATTTTGCTTCGACTTGCAGCCAGAGCTTTGAGTTGCAACTGGAAAAAAGCAGGGGAAAAAGGTGGGGAATTCAAATTTGCTAACCGTTGGCAGGCAAAGAGGCTGCTTCTTTGTAGCCCTTTTGCCCCAACAGTTAGAGTGAGTGCATTGTGAGGAGGCCTTGAACTGCCTGGAGCTGCTTTCTGCTCCTGAGTAAGTACATTTACTGGGTGAGTTTGGGTTTGGGGAGGATATGTTTCTGTGCTGTGATGTTTTTTGTGTTTTGGTGTGTGTTCTTCCCCAGCACCATCACGTTCCGCTGGGGCTGGCTGTGTGTGTGTAGGTGTTTTTGTGGGTTTTTTTCCCAATCCCATCACGTTCCAACAAACTAGCAAAATTCTCAGAAAACTCTTGCGAGGGAAGACCAAAGGTCTTCCTGATTTTACCTTTTAGTAATCCAAAGGTCTTCGTGTATAGATTACTCTCTTTTTTGTTTCATTGGACTATTGGGGATTATTTTTATTGGGTTATTTTCATTCTGCTGAGCAGTTCATTCCAGACATCACTCAAAAACAAAGGGGGACAGTAAACTCTTGCTAAGTTTTCCAACAGTAAATTAGCTTCCAGAGACCAACACTGTAAGTAGCATGACAAAAGCAGAAGACTCAGTTCTCAGAAAAGATCACTTCTTGGAAAAGAGGTCAATGTTCACAGGTAGAATGGGGGATTTTTAGTACCTGTTTCTCTTCTTTCATATCCTGGAGAAATTTGCAGACAAAAGTGCCATAGGCTCAGAAAGGGTATTTTACTTTATCCTTACTGCAGATCTTTCCTTCAGCTTCATTTTCTACATATCTTCTGCATTACTCATGTTTAAACTTACTCACTCTGCACGGAAACCTAGAACAATGGAGAACAAATAGTAACTTTGCAAAGAAGCTGCACCAGACAGTGCTTTTGCTTATATTGCCAGCTAGTTTGCCATGCCTTCTATCACGATATTCTATTCTATCCCCCCTCCTCAAGATATTCCACCTTCCACCCAACAGTAGCAATATTTTTCATGACTGCTGTCATGAAAAACAGTCCTTGTTGGCTGTTTCAGGAATTCTCCATCACCTCCTTGATGTAAGATTCTCCTTCAGTATATTTTGTAAGTTTGGCTCCTTATGCAATAAGTCCCTTCTAAGCACTGGAAATTGAGTGAATCTAGCTAGCTTGAACTGTGTTTCAAAACTGATCTACATCATATGCAACCAAAGTAGAAGTGGGTCAAAATAATTTTAGAAGTGTCAGCGAAGCCTGCATTTTTAACTTGTAAACCACCTAGAGAGTGCTTGAAACATTATGGGGCAATATATAAGCAGCATGCTTTGCTCTCTTTTAAAAATGCACAGGGAGCTATCCAAGCCAACCATGCACGAATTACTAAAATTTTCTCCCTTACCCTTCCATTTACCACCCTCAAATTCTAATCAGACCAATAAAATTTTCCTCATCGCATGATCTTAGCTGAAAAGCCTACAAGTGGCCCTACTTGTCCCACAATTTGTTATGCGCCATCAAAACATATAACAATTATAATGTGGCTTTCAAAGTAAACAAGTTATTTAAGAAGCGGTTTTACCACTTCTAACCCACCCCAGTGAGTTTCAATGGCCAAGCAGGGATTTGAACCCAGGCTGTCTGTCACTGTATCCACTACATCACATTGGCGCATGAACACTGAACACAGTTGTTCCCCTTGCAGTACTTGAATTTTCTTTATTTCATTTCAATATATTCTGCCTCTCTCCCAATGCAGGGACTCAAGGTAGTTGCAGAATCAAAGCATAGAATATGAGCCAACAGTATGATGTGGCTACAAAAAAAAGGCTAATGCTATTTCAGGCTGCATCAACAGAAGTATAGCCTCCAAATCCTGCAAGGTGCCATTTCCCTCTATTCAGCACTGGTTAGGCCTCATCTTGAGTACTGTGTCTAGTTCTGGACAACGCACTTCAAGAAGGATGCTGACAAATTGGAGCAAGTTCAGAGGAGGGCAAAGGGATGATCACGGGACTAGAAACCAAGCCCTGTGAGGAAAGACTGAAAAAAAACTGTGTATGTATAGTCTCGAGAAAAGAAGGCTGAGGGGAGATATGATAGCACTTTTCAAATACTTGAAAGGTAGTCATACAGAGGAGGGGCAGGATCTGTTCTCGATCAGCCCAGAACGCAGGACACACAACAATGGGCTCAAGTTACAGAAAGCCAGATTTCAGTTGAATATCAGGAAAAATGTCCTCACTGTTAGAGCAGTACAAGAACAGAACCAATTCTCTCAAGAGGTGGTGAGTTCTCCAACAATAGAGGCATTCAAAAGAAATTTAGACAACAACTTGGCAGATATCCTTTGATCTGTATTCCTTCATTGAATAGGAGGTTGGACTTGATAGCCTTATAGGCCTCTTCCAGCTTCATGCTACTATGATAGAAGGGGTAGAAAACGTTAAGAGCAGCCCTGGGACATTTGAAGGGGAAAACAGAGTGAAAAAATTTCTATTCTATTTTTCTGTTCCTCAGTTTGTTGTTTGATGGGGGACCCTGGAACCCAAGAAGATCTTCTAAAAGGGATGTGGCCAAAAACCAGTTGAGAATGGTTGGTTTAGACCAGTGCTCTGTCTGTAAAACAATATATTCTACTTATGAACTGCAGATGTAACATGGCAATCAATATGCTGTAAAAGACCAGGCTTTAGGCATGCTAATAGTGCAACTCTGTCTGTACATATGCTGAGGTACATCTCTCTGGCCTCAGTTAGGCTTACTTTTAGACAAGTGGCTATAGGATTACATCCTACACAATCTTTATCTTTTCTTATTCTTCCAGCTGTGTTTCCCATAATCTTTAACTGTTGCACAGAAGTAGCCAATCAGATCCCCAGAAGATGGCTAAGGAGGACAGTGGTGAAATTTGAGATTCAGAAGGCTGGCGACTTATGCAAAATACCAGCTGTGGTGTAAGTAGTGGAAATTTTTATTGTATTTTAATTAATTTATAAATTAATAGCTGCTATCAATTATGGAATTTTAGAGTTTTCAGAAAGATAGGCATGCAAATTTTGTTGTTTAGCATGTCCACATAGTAAACTGGAGTTTATGAACGGTCAATCTGAGTTTTAGTTTTAAAGGTGCCACAAAACTTCTGTCTTTGGTTATGCTTTTTGTTGAAGCTATAGAATGGTGGGGATGATTTATTCTGCTATCCTTTCTTAAGTTATGGGATACAGCAGTTCTGTTTATTGGAATTCAGGATGGGAGGGTTAAGCCAATTGAGAACTGGATTTAAGAGACAATCTCGTACCAATTTATTGCTTAATACACACCTTCATGATTGCATCGTTAGCCTGAGATCTAGCAAACATGATCAGCATGGGCTATTAACTGCTTATAACCTATTTAGCAGATTAATCATCTACTTTGTAGCCATTCAAACTTGCATGTATTTGCCTGCTGTCAATGTATCACTAGAAACTTATTTTTTGAGATATATGAAGCCAGGGGGACCCAGAACCTTCTGGCAGCCACATCATCCTTTCCTAAAGAGCACTGGAAGTGACCAGAAGATGAAGCTCTTTTCCTGCAGCTTAGCTCAGGTTCAGAAACGACTTGGAAATAGGGCACAGGTAGGAATGATTAGATGAGGTCAAGTACTAAGACATTTTGCTTCCAGATGGAAAGCTTTGATCACTTGCTCTGAAAAGGCATTGTGCAGCTTTTCTGTGTTCTCTTTTTCTTTCACAGATTTTTTTTTACCCTGCTGTAGGGGTGGGCAGGGATGAAGAAGTGATGAAAAACATGGGAAGTCTGCGGAAGTCTGGACTGCCCATAAAATTGCATGAATGAGGTTTTATACTTGCAACAGTAAAAGCCTAATTTAAAAACACAGTTCTGCCTTCCATTTGTAATGCATCTATGTTATCTTACAGCTTCCTTCCCCTTACTACAGAGAATCTGTGAAGGAGGGTAATCTTCATAATGCCTTTTGTCGAGTATGTCTTCCCATCTAGAACAGGGGGTGGGAAACTTTGGCAGGTCTAGGGTTACATTTTACGTTTACATTTTAAGTCTCACTTGAAAAAAGCACCTGTCTTTAATCCACCTATTGAAATAAATGTGACTTTCAATTAATTCTCATTTTTTGGTACAAATCAGTTGTTCAAGAGTTGTTTCTAAATTACATTTTATTTAAACACAGTCTTTATGTTCTTGCTTTGATAGCCTTTACACTAAGCACAAAAAGCTGTGTGCCAGTCCACAGAATAAAAATGTGAAGAGATGGATGAAGCAAATGGTCAAGAGACACCAAAGAACTGGCCATCTTGAGAGGATGAGGAAGAAAGGCAAAAGGAGGAGGAAGACTTGGAAGAAACAATGTGCCGACTGTTGAGGCCACACAGAAAAGCTAGAATCTGTGCCATAATAAATTCAGCAAAAATCTCAGTGTGACTCATCATATACAGATACGAAAAGAATGGCAAATAATTTTTTGAGTGTTACCCATATGTATTCTCGAAGGCTTTCATGGCCAGGATCTGATGGTTGCTGTGGGTTTTTCAGGCTCTTTGGCTGTGTTCTGAAGGTTGTTCTTCCTGACATGTTACCCAAATCGTCGACTTGCTCCTTCCTTCTCAACCAGTGGTTCCCAACTAGGGTTACCCAGAAGTTCTTGGACTGCAATTCCCAGAAACCCTGGCCAGCACAGCTGGTGCTGCAGGCTTCTGGGAATTGCAGTCCAAGAACACATGGGTTACCCAAGGTAAGGAACCACTGTTTTAAACCTTTTCTGACTTGGGAAATCTTTCATCCTCCATGCATAACTGAGCACACTATTCATTTTCAGGAGAATGTGCTGAAAATATTGTGTGCAGTGGTGGTACACATCCGAATTCTGAAACTGCCAATTTGTGGATAGGGGGATATGGCGGTTTTGTGGTCTACCAGGGATTGTATGCCATCATCCCAGTTACCTTCTTGTTTAGTTTGGTAAAAAGGGCATACCTCGCTGTTCTAAGCACTGAAAATCGTAAATGTGATTGACGATTTTCCTGCCACTGAGATGGCATTAAAAAGGAGGATGTTTCAGCTGGAAGTCCTACCATCATTGATAGGACTTCCAAACTAAAAGAAGGGAAAGCCAGGCAATGGCCTGCATTCCTTTCCCTGTAATGGCCAGGTTGGATTCTCCTATTGTCTCTGCCCCTATTACCAATTCCCAGAATAATAGCTCCTGTATTCCCCACCTCTCCCCATGTTTCCACTCAAGTATTTCTGGCCTGTTAGTATAGCAGTGAAGTGAAACTCTTCCTCCTCAGCTGTTCTAATCAGATGGACTAAGTGGCTTCCTTAACAGAACAACCCACTTTTTGTGGTATGCCTTTCAGTACCAACCCTGCCACTTCACCAGCCCAGCTTATATCCCAATCCCCAACCAGGTGGGAGAGAAGACAGTTCCTGGCTACAGAGCAGGGGATGACACACAGCAACAGAAGAAGAAGCCGAGTCCTGCAAAACCCTGATTTTGGAGGTTCCACAGGCCAGGAAGAGAAGGCAGCAGATGACCAAACAACGGGCACACACTCTTCCCTGTGGAAGATGGCAATGCTTCTCCTTGTTAGATAGGTTGGCTAGCCAAGGCTCCTTGGCAGCCTTAAAAGAATTGCACTGAAAGAATTACATTGAAATAATTGTTTTTCACAATTAAGTTAATTTTACATTCATATTTACTGTTTGTATTACTTTACTACACTAAATGCCTTATAGGAAAGAGATGTTCAAAGATTAACTTCCAAATCAAATCCTGGGGTTTAAATCTGCCTTTATGCATTAGAATTTTGATGGATGCTTGCTTACTCAAGACATAGTATATGGCTCTGTTCCTCCCCACTTTATCCTACAAACAATTCTGCAAGAAATATCAGGCTCAGAGAGCATGATGAGCTCAGGGACATGCAGTATGTCATGGTGAGCACAACCAGAACTAGATGTCTGAGGTCCTACGAGAAGAATGCCAAGGTGATAACCTGCAGGACAGCTCTTGACTGGGTAAAGAGGAGACTGGCTTTTGCTAACTACTCCACCTTGCCTCACCCTTACCTTCAACTCCAGACACTACCTGGCTGTATGTATGTGCTCCCATTTATTTATTTATTTATTTATTNATTTATTTATTTATTTATTTATTTATTTATTTATTTATTTATTTATTTATATGCCGCCCACTCTACCCAAAGGTCTCTGGGCGGCTTACAACAATTAAAATTCAATACAATAAAATATAAAATGATTAAAATACAATTAAAATACAATTAAAATTGCCATCTGCCATCTAAAATTGTTGTCTGATATGCTTACCTACCGCTTCCACTATGTATGGAAGCTGGCAACTTTGAATCAGTATTGAAAACTCTTAAATGACACAAGGTATGTATTACGTAGCCAAACTAAGGAAGGGTTTTGTTGTGTAGACCCGTGGTCTCCAATCTTGGGCCTCCAGATGTTCTTGGACTTCAGCTCCCAGAAATCCTGGCCAGCAGAGGTGGTAGTGAAGGCTTCTGGGACTTGTAGTCCAAGAACCTCTGGATTTCCCAAGGTTGGGGACCACTGGTATAGACTATGACTACACAATTAAGCCAGAGATTGCAGCAGGCAGATGTGAAGTCATACCTTAGAAAGGAAGCAATCCTCAAACAGATAAGACAAAGAAAGAAAGAAAAAATCAAAATCCACTCTCTCCTTCTGCTTCCCCCTATAGGCTCCTAGGTTCTCACAAAGGCAGAGTTGCACTTCAGCACCAACACATACAACTCTTTCCTTGGGTCTTCTCAACTTTGTTCCAGTTTTAGTTTATTTTACCATCTATTCTCTTTCACCAGCCCTTCTGTCTAGAAAACAAAGATTTCTCTTCTCCAAAGGAATCCTGCAGCTATTGCTATCACTTCTACTCATCACGAAACATGTTTTCTTTCTTCTGCGTTATTATTACATTATTTAATCCAGCTTTCCTTCCTAGTTACCTCATGTCTGCTGCTACAGGAAGTGCTTTCGCCATCTCTGTTGGATATCTTTCCTGCTTCCTCATTCATACAAATGTAAGACTCTTTGTCCACATTTCAGAGCAAACCAATCTAATTTGCACATCAAAGACGGAAGTGTAGATGAGAATATTTCTCTCAGTTTTGTAATGCCTCAAAAAAGTCACAAAACATCTGAAACAAAATACTGTATGTTTTAAATTGTCTATTCTTTAAGAAAATGAACTCAAAATTGATATTTTAATACAAATTTTCATATGGACTAATATTTTAAAAAATCAGAGATCAATGCAGACATCAAGTAGTATGGCTACATGCAAAACTGGAGTGGACCAGAAATAGATTTTAACCTCCACTCCGATCTGTCATAACTAAGAGATCCTTTATCGCTGAATGTTGGGAATCTTAGCCCTGCAAATGTTTATCTGTTGTTGTTGTTTTGAAGTATGTACATCTTTGAAGCACAGTTAGGCCCACAGTATCCACGGGGGATTGATTCCAAACCCCCTACTGCAGATGCTGGAAACAGTGGATAAGCAAAGCATTTGCTTCCAGTTACTTTGCTGTCTGCGCATGGTTGAGAGAGAGAAAGCCTTGGCACAGTCTTGCCAAAGGAGTGGGTTTCCTGCCCTCTTGTTCAAGGGAGAGTTCCCTGAAACCAGGAGCTGCCCCCTGCCTGCCCCCAACGCTATTTTCACCATTTCACTGGAAGCTGTTTCCCTTGGAGATATCAGGCCACGAATGCATTTCAATTAAGCCACCAGTATAACCTATCAGTTTGAAAGCATGTAAAAATGTGAGTAGACAAATAGGTACCAACACGGTGGGAAGGTAACAGCATTCCGTGTCTAGTCGCGCTGGCCACATGACCATGGAAACTGTCTTCAGACAAATGCTGGCTGTATGGCTTGGAAACAGGGATGAGCACTGCGCCCTAGAGTCGGACACGACTGGACTAAATGTCAAGGGGAATCTTTACCTTTACCTTATAGCATAGTATCTGGTTTCATCTAGTGGTAAGTTCTCATAATACACCTTAGGAACATATATTTCTGGGCTGTATTTATCTTTTTTCTTCTTCTTCCAGGAAGCAGACAAATAAAACTGCTGGTACTGATTCTGCAGATATGGCAATCCTACTGTATGTACATTTATAAAGAACTACATAACCTTCTCCAGACAATTTACACCATATTGCATTAATCAAACAAATAACTGGCATGCAAAAATCTGTAAGAATATGCTTTATTCAACAATTTATCTAAAACTAACAAATAATAAAAAGCAGCTACTATTTTTCCCCATTTAAAAGCTCAGGTCAATGTCAGATTAATGAGGTAAATGCAAGTATGAACAATGGGTTTTAAAAAGCCAATTTTAAGCTACACAGTGCAGAGGTAAATTTTGCCTAGGACAGAGTTCCAAGAGTGATGAAGCCAACATCAATGAGGCTTTACACCTTGTGCTTCTCCATTAGCTCTTAATAGATGGTAGTGGAAGATGTATGAAAAGGGCCTCAGAGGCTTTGCAAAAGGGAGGCAGTCTTATATGGGTTGAGTCCTTGAAATGTTCTGGCTACCCACAGGAACAGGTCTTCAGTGACATGAGCGGCAGCCTGAAGGAGGGGAAGAAAATTCCAACAATACACCTAGCATCTTGTTTGATTTAGATTAGCATTTTTAATGTTTTAAAAAGATATTTCCTTTATTGGATGCAGCAGTCGGCTTATGGAAGAGAGATATTATAGTATGAAGTCAGGCATCTTATGGATCTTCTGAGATCTTTTGGAAATGGAGTCAATATTTAATAATATTATTTATTATTATTAACCTTACTATTTAAATTATTAAATAATAGAAAGTAAAGTGTAGTTTAATAAAGATCAAAGAATTGTTGGTGCACAGGCTTTAGGTTATAGTCCTCAGCACCTTTAACATGAGCATGTCCTAGGGCTTATGTCTAAGTGGGCACACTTCAGATTGTACAGTACTGCAAAAGTAAGGGCATCTTGCATTTTCAGTTCTTTCCAAGAACTGAAATAAGTGCAAATTTTGGTAAGAAGACATATGAATCAAAGTAAGTAGATTTCTATTCACTTCCATTCAGTTTATTGCTCAGCGTCTGATCAGGATTTTTGCCTTCAAGGGAAGCAAATGAAAGAACAAAAGTTAAACAATTAATAGAAAATCAAATATTCAGCATTTTCTTTAGGAAAACATATCTTTTGTTCCAACAGATGCCATCACACATCTTGGATGGTCATGTTATGAAAATTCCATACAACTGACTGAATGGCTGACTCATTCATTCCACCCCCGCCCCTCCCCCCATGCTACCCTCTCAGGGCAATATACACTAAATTATAAAAGCAATATAATATAACAATAAAAATTAAACTAAAACACCCAA